ACATGTCAGGCTAAATATGAAGCAATTTCGTGGAGCGTTTTCATGTAGTATGATTGAGAAATCTATTAAATTCATTGCAAGAAAAACAAATCAAAGCAATAAAATTTTGAGTTGACAACAAGTTAACTATTGAACTGCTCAAAAACTCAGCTAATCATGAAACAAGTAAGAATATTGGTGTTTGATTTCATTTCATTAGAGAGCAAAGTAAGAATATTGGTGTTTGATTTCATTTCATTAGAGAGCATATGACATATAGAACTTGTGCATGGACGTTTTTGAATAAGAAGTTTTGTTAAAAAAATAAATGTACGTTGAAGTGTTAGTTAAACCATTTTCTGTTTTGTAATCATTAGATAGTTACAAGTGCAATGTAACCGCCTAATTACTTCTTGTTAAATAGTTGGTGTAATTTCGTTTGACACTGAGGAACTAAGGATCATGGTGTTGTCTCACAGGTCTCTCTCAAGGATTAGAAACTTCAATGGGAGTGCATATTCACCATCTGAATTTGTGGCCAACAAATTACGCACCTGAGAACCAATTGTTTTCTCATGCTTTGTGGTATAGCTAATCCAATGGTGGATTTGCCTTACACATCTCACATGCTTCTTCAAATAATTAAGATGACAGTTGTTTTGGTATACCATGCACCAATAATATCAGACTGACAGATTGACAGCTCTGAATAAGGGTTGGTGATAAGAAGAGAACGAATGTTCAATACATGATCATGAGAAGCTTTGTACCACTATTCAAGTACGGCAAATGCTAACCGACACCGGTATAAAAGTTGAACAAGTCTAGTTCATTGGCCCCGCCTCACTTAATAATTATCAACATGATATACTTTCATTTTTTTTTTTTTTATGTTTTTCTTTTCAAATGAAGAAAGGCCTTCACTAGAGAAGGAGAAACACCATTGTCTTAACTACTATGACATGTTTCGTTGATTCATGAGAAAGTCCTCAAGACAACACCATATGCTCTTGTCTCTAAATTGGTCCCATTACTCCTATCTCATAGACCTTCACCAATAATTCATGTAGCCACTGGCTTCTTACATATCTTTTTTCTCTATAAATATTCATGACTTCAAGCATTTAGGAACCAACACAAATCATTCATATCCCAAAGCAATCAAAGCTTATTCCCTAGACTTCTCTTTAACCATACTCATCTCAAACCAACACAACAATGGGTTTTCGTTTACCTGGTATCAGAAAGACATTATTTGCAGCTAATCAATCATCTTCAAAAGCCGTAGAAGTGCAAAAGGGCTTTCTCGCAGTTTACGTCGGAGAGAAAATGAAGCGGTTTGTGATCCCTGTATCATACTTGAACCAACCTTCTTTCCGGAACTTGTTGAGTCAAGCTGAGGAAGAGTTTGGATATGATCATCCCATGGGTGGTCTCACAATTCCATGCAGCGAACATGTCTTCCAACATATAATTTCTTGCTTGAATTGACAATAAATTGCGCAGTTTAGGTGACTAACATGGATTAGTAGAGAAATTTTGTATAGGCGTCGTATCAACACTAGAGTGACAAAGTCATATTTCATAGAGTGCGTATTTCATGGTTAAAGAACATTCTGTCAATACTATACATATATACCCTCTGTATAGTTGTACAAGTAATAACAAATTCTTTAATGGCGAAATCTACTACTTTTACCTTTCTTTATTTTATGGTTCGGATACCTTTTGCATGTATTGTATAGCCATGACTCATTTTTCATTAGTAATTTACTGATAACAAGAGTACTGTACAATATTGTGTTCATGGAAGAGATACATTGATATGCACACCCTATAACAGGAATGAGTGCTTAGAAAGATACATAAAATTGTAAATAGTATAATAGGGTCAACTTTTTTAATTATGCAGTAGGGTAAGATGCTTGCATAGCTATGCCACAGAGTCCTTCCTCAGAGTCAACACCCCTTTGCATCCTAATGTACCCTTCTTCACCCCACACAGTTCCCCATGAGTTCTTTACCAACCAATACTCAGTTCCATCATCACTGACACCATATCCCACAGCAGTGACACCGTGGTCCAAGTCCGTTCCACACGAACCAGTGAAGACACCACTCGTGTAAAACTGGAAGTCAGAGCCACTGGCATCAATGGCTACAGACACTGGTTGATTGGCCACAGCCTTCTGCAGTGCTTTCTCACTGTTGGCGGGGACATCCTCATACCCAGTAATGGAAACTGCATGCTGAGATGCTTCATTTGCATTGCAGGTTCCATCAACACCCTTGTATGGGTAATTGGCTTCAGTGTCGAGTCCATGATTTTGGATGATGAATTTGAAAGCATCATCCATAAGACCACCTTCACAACCTTGGTCCACACCCTTTGTGTCACAATCAACAAGTTCTTGTTCCGACAAAGAGATCAATTTTCCACTAGTCAGTGCATGAATTCCTTCAGTTGCCGCAACAGCAGAAAAGGCCCAACAACATCCTAAAATACAAAGTAAATTAATAGTTAGATATCAACCATTATTATTTAATTCATAATAATGAATAATGAAACACTTACCACATTGACCTTGGTCCTTGACGGGTGTCACTGCACCCTTTTGCCTCCAGTCCACTGTGGATGGCAATGCAGTTACATTTTCATACTTAAAAGAGGTTGTCCTTACGATTGAAGAACACATGTGACCCTTGAACCTATTTCTTGGTGCTACGAACTCCTCATTGGTAAGGTCCGCAAATTCATTAATGCCTAGCTTGTAAGGTTTAGTTGCAGCATTGTTGAAGGTTTCAATGTAATTCACATTTTCCTTGAATATCCTGAAACGTTTTTCCCTTTCCTGAGGGCTCTTATACACTTTGCCGTAACGAGCCATCCATTCCTCATGTCTCTCATACATGGAGACATCTTGCAGAGAGCGAGATGTGACTTGAAAAGCCCAGAATGCCATGCAGAAAAGTAGTGCCAATGAAATGTGATAGAAATTATTTTTGGCAGCCATGGTATGTAGAGTTGTGAGAGAAATATGGGAGCTAATAGTTGAGGTTGGTAGTGAAATGTGTGAAAGATGTGTTGAGAGGTTCCCAAGACTATTTGTGGTATTTATAGTAAAGTCAAGTTGAATGGTAAACTAATCTTCTTGTGCGCAGCTCAAATCTGAAAGTACCTTTGGCTAAATGTCCGAATGAGAATATTTTGAATAGATTCTTGTATTGTATGCAGGTGTGGGAACTCCAGACAAATTATCAGTGAAGCGTAACGTAGAGGCATTGTCTGCGGGTACTGGAAAAGTTTGGAATTATAAAAATGAAGGTTTGAAATTTGTTTTGTTTGTTTTATGAGAATGCACATTGCTAACGCAGAACCGAATAAAGGAGTTGTATTCTTCCATTCCAGCGTTCCAAATCTAATATTATATAGCTTTGTTTATTGCTTTATCTTTATACTTGTTCTTAAATTTGATAGATTTAGTTCTTGCATTTGTGACAAATATCAGTATGTTTAGTCTCTGTATATTCTGAAGCAGCAATAATGTTATTTGTGGTTGCAACAAGAATGAGAAGTGACGTTATTACACAAGATATACTCTACCACTTTTTCTATTATATATAAAAAGCAAATACTACCAATTAAACAAGATATATTTTACTACTTTTAAGCAAATACTTATCAAAACTAATAAAAATAGTTAAATTAGTTCATTTTAACTAGTAATGTCATAAATTTAATTATTATTTCAACAGTATTCTTAATTGGTTAAGTGATTGTTATATTCAATGTCAACGACAGATCTTGTAAAGATTGTAATTTGAGATGTTATTTTTAACCTACTGTTATGGTTTATACTGTTGATAGATGAAGAAATGTATTCCCTTTAATAAGATCATTTATCTTTTAAGAAAAAGATTGTCTTGATCATTAATAAAAAAAATATATATATATATATATATATAATATAATATAATATTGTTATAGATCAATAAATATATTCCTTGTAATAAGATCATTTATCTTTTAAGTAACAAAAAGACTTTCTTATCATTTATAATAAAATATTATATATATATATATATATATATATATATATATATATATATAAATATAATATCATTAGTTCTATTATAACATCTAAAAATATTATTTATTTTAAAATTTTAATACGTCATAATTTTACTTTTAAAGATGTTTTATAAATAAAATCATAATACATTAAAAATTTTAAAACAAATAATTCCCAAAATAGGGTGATAGAGCTTGGACAAAGGACATCAAATCAAAACTTTAATTTTCTAAACAGAATAATTACTTAATTGATTCAACTAATTTTTTTATAATTAAATCTTTCTAAGTTTACCCTTTTAAAAAGTTTTCAAAAATATTTTATCAAACTGGTTTTTCAAAATTGAAAAAAAATAAAAATATTATTTTATTGAATGAAAGGGATATCTTGTGAAATAGATAGATTTGATTGAATTTTTATTAAATATATTGAACTCGATCACATTTTTAATTAATTTTTCATCAATAAACTAAAATAAATTAATGACTTTTATTTGGCTATGCAGTAGCAATTTGTGTGCACGAAGTTAATAAAGTTTTCATACTTCCATTTTTATAATTCTAAACTTTTCCCAAACGCACATTCTTTTTGACAAGTTGTTTGGCACGATATATCCCTTCATACGTTACGTTGACAAGTAATTTGTCCGTAGTGCCATCTAATTCAGAAAAATGTCATACAAGAAAGAAGTGGTTTGAGAAATAAGTTGAAAACTAAAACACTAATTTAGAATTCAACGTTAACATGCCTATATTAACGCCACAAACAATATACCACGCATAATTCATCTTTCACACACTTCACTAGCCACCCTCAAGTAGTAGTTCCACTAATTGTCACACTAAACTAGTAACCATGGTTGCAAAAAAACAAGTCTATCATATTTCATTGGCATTCCTTTTCTGCATCAGATTCTGGGTTTTTAAGCCACGTGTCGCACTCTCCAAGATGCCTCCATGTATGAGAGACATGAATAATGGATGACTAGATATGGCAGAGCGTAGAAGGACCCTCAGGAAAGGGAAAAGCGTTTCAGGATATTCTAGGAAAATGTGAATTACATTGAAGCCTTCAACAATGATGACAATAAACCTTACAAGCTAGCCATTAATCAATTTCTGCAGTGCCATCCACAGTGGATTGGAGGCAAAAGGGTGCAGTGACACTCGTCAAGGACCAAGGTCAATATGGTAAATGTCTCATTGTTCATTATTATTAAGTCAGATAATACTGGTTGATTATCTAACCATTAATTTACTTTTTATTTAAGGATGTTCTTCGGCCTTTTCTGCTGTTGCAACAACTGAAGGAATTCATGCACTGACTACAGGAAAATTGATCACTTTGTCGGAACAAGAACTTGTTGACTGTGACACAAAGGGTGTGGACCAAGGCTGTGAAGGTGGTCTTATAGATGATGCTTTCAAATTCATCATCCAAAATCATGGACTCGACACTGAAGCCAATTACCCTTATGAGGGTGTTGATGGAACCAGCAATGCAAATGAAGCATCTCAGCATGTAGCTTCCATAATGGGTATGAGGATGTCCCTGCCAACATTGAGAAGGTACTGCAAAAGGCTGTGGCCAATCAACCAGTTTCGGTTGCCATTGATGCCAGTGGCTCTGACTTTCAATTTTACAAGAATGGTGTTTTCACTGGCTCATGTGGAACTGAGTTACGGTGTCACTGCTGTGGGATATGGTGTCAGTGATGGTGGAACTGAGTATTGGCTGGTAAAGAACTCATGGGGAACTGTGTGGGTTGAAGAAGGGTACCTTAGGTTGCAAAGGGGTGTGGACTCTGAGGAAGGACTCAGTGGCATAGCTGTGCAAGCATCTTACCCTATTGTTTGAATGTCAAACTTGATGCTACTTTTTCCTACACTATGTAATACTACTTACACTAGTCTAGGTAATTATTCTGCAAAAATTTATCAGCTACATGTCTATGGCCAGTTACCTAAACTAATACTTGCCAATTTGCAATACAGGGAAGAAGCTAAGCGTAATCATTCTGGCTTCTACATCTTCAGTTCCGTACTTGTTATTTATTGTGAAATCTACACAATTGGCGCATTAAAATGCTCCCCGATGTCCTTCATGATTCTCCCATTAAATAAGAAAGTTGGAAACATAAATTTAATATCTTAAAATTCTTAGATTAAATTCTTTTATAGATTATAATTGCCTTGTAGTCTCATCATGAATAATATCTCCTAATATTGTCTCCCTCCCTCGAAATCTTATATCATAGTCTATACTAAACATGATTCCGGTCTAAGCATTAAGGTTTGGAATAAAATTAATTTTAGACTGTCAAACACAATTAAAATATGTCCAAGTTAATCTAAATTTTAGATATTTTTCCAAGGTTGTGGACTGTTTACTGCATTTAATCCTAAGATCTTAAATCATTGTCACACTTGATGAAAACCTAGTAATGAACTTCACTCGTCTATTCGGCATTAAGCAGCATTCATCAATTTTAAAGTCTCAGTACATTATTACATAGTGATAATACAGACCTCCATAGCAGCACTCAACCATATGATCAAAACTCAAACCAACATTACAGTCAAGAAATCGGTTCGTGTTCTAATTGGTAGACTGACGCAACTCAGGACGGACAAAGTCTGCATCTGGTGGCACTGAAATGTCCACAGTTGGTCTCAATTGTGCACAAACTTCAATGGCTCCATGCACTTGGTCCGACAGGAAGTTACTGATTAGGTCTTGGTTGATAGGTGCTCCATTGTCCACAGCCACCAAGGCCTGCTGGGTTAGGATGTAATCAAATCGAGGAGCCCATTTTCTTGAACCTAACCTTGCTGTGGTTGAACAGTTATCAACCATGAAAGAAACACCACGAGCATGCATGAAAGGATTCAAAGAATCAACAGACTCAATGACACTCTCGTTAATGATTTCAGAGTACGAATGCCCCTTCTTCCTCAGGATCTCAATCTGGAATCGTACTCATAAATTTAAAAAGCAAAACAAAATGTCAAGAAAAATGAACATGAAGATCAAAATTCATAGGAAAAAATTCCATCCTCATGCAATTACTAGATGACTATCAGCCAGATTTGAAGATATTTAAGGTGTTTTCTTTCCCTTGTACAATTCTTACTATGCAAGTAAGATTGCATTTGATACATGAAAAATTGTTAGTTTCTCGGGAATCTTGGGGTTTGAGAATGTTTGTTTTTCTTGTTTGGCTTATTTTTAAATTCCTAGAAACAATATTTCATAGGAATGTTTATTGTTATGTTTCCCATAAAATTATTCTATAATAGGGAGGTAAAATATAACTGTTGAGTCGGAAATAAATATATTGTGGTTAATACCACAATATGGTATATAACTAAAGTTTCTAGTAAAAAAAAAAAATTAATGTTTAATTCTTAAGAAACTTGTACAAATATTTATGACCAACTAAACAAATTTTAGTCATTAGTAGAAATCATGATTACCAAGATTCCTAGATATGAACATTTTTTTGTTGTCCCATTCGCTCCAGACATTATGAGTTTAATCCCACTAAAATTTAAGAGAGAAAACACCATTGCTACTTTGGAGATATTCTTGCTCTAATATTTTCCCAAAGTTATCAGTAAATAAGGGCAATTTGCCAAGGGAATGTACATACCAACTCCAAATAATCTAGCATGAAAAATTGCTAACAAAATAAGTACACATACCTGGGCCATCATCAATGCCACATAGACACCAGCAGTAAATGGATATAGAGGACCTAGATCACCCGCTGGCCTTGTAGACCGGACACGCTCACCAACCTTCCACATCCGGGTCTGATCAATTTTACCCATGGGAAACGCAGGCAGACCCTCTTTCTCCTGTAAAATGCAGGTACAATTTAAAGTATATTGCACAATGGCCAGCTCTAAATGGAAAGTGAATATGCACTTACATAGAAGCGACGCCCAGCCAAGACAACACTGCGAATCTCACTCCCAACAGCAATATCCTCATAGCACTCGTACAAAATGTCCATGCAGGGATAATATGAAGCGCTATATGCTTTCTCAAATTCCCTTTTTCCATCTTCAGATAAAGAATTGTATACAGCCAACATGCCCTATACATACAAAAAAAAAAAAAAATAGTTAATTCAGAAGCACGCATTCACATCTCAGGGAACAGCATTGTTATTATTATTTCTGGGCACATAACGGCAACATTGCAAATTTAGCATGTAACTTGTAAGTATATAAGCCCTGCATTTTATTTCCAGGTGATTCTTGGGCTAACACTCGTAATGGTTAGACACATCTTGTACTATATCACATTCATTTAGTATCAATAATACTTTTTCTTCTTCAAAAAAAAACATTATCAGTGAAAAAGATCCAAGAGATAACATCACTAAAATGTAAGTACGAGATCACTACCTTAGTCGAGATGATTCTAGATATAGTTCCTGTGATGCTCTCAACAGTGTTGCTATATGCCAAATCTTCACTCATTCCATGTTCGGTGTACCTCCTAAACAAGGATTCCACGACACCATGAACAGCACCAAGTAAAATGCCTAGAAACCATAAAATCAGAAATTAGGCAATAAGACTTCAAAGACAAACATCAAGGAACTAGGAGAAATATTCTTGCCTCTCTCTCCGAAGATGTCACTCCTGTATTCCATCTCTAATGTAGTGGCAAACGTAAAAGGGGAACCAAGGGCAACGGACCATGCCAGAGCAACGTCAGTAGCTCTGCCATCCACATCCTAGATGTAATGATGAAGCTCAGACCCAGCAAAATAATGAATAAAAATATAATTATTCCTGGCAGGGACAACGAAAGGACGGAAAGAAAAAGAGAGAACAATAGAGCACACCTGGTGGACTGCAAAACTTGAATTAATTCCAGCACCATTTATCTCTTTGCCTTGGACATACAATCTCCTTACAGAAGGACCCATACCTTTCGGGCATACAGCAATTACGCTGAAGTGCTTGGGAAAATCAAGTCCCATTGACTGTAAATGCCCAAGAAGAAAACCATGGGACAGCCCAAGTATGCTATTTGGCTTCATGTGCGAAAATATTTTTTCATAATTATCAGCCTGCATTGCATGATTAAAAAAATTAGAAAGACACCAAATATCAGAAAACTTCAAAATCACTATAGCATTGGGCAAATAGTCCACTATTATTGCCAAATCAGCATAATTTGAAACATTAAGATATCACCACAACAGCTTTAATACGTTATCGAAATTATTTTAAAATAAATAAATGAGCACTGACTTCAATTAACTAACCTGTGCAGCATCAGAAATCAACAGCAACACAAGATCACTGCCTGAGATAGTTTCCCATATGTCGCCCAGAGTTCCATTCCCCTCACTAAAACCAGCTGCACGAGCTTCATTAAAGGAACGAGAACCTTTCCTGAGCCCTACCTGCATTGCCAAAACACCAACACGTTAATATAACCACACTTTCAACATTCAAGAGTGACCAATCAATTAAATCAGCAATGAATCACCTTAACCACAATATCAGACTTCGCATCAGCGAGAGAGTCCCGCAAATTCTGTGCCTGTGCAGGTCCCTGGTGGTGAAGGTAGTTTAAACAATCTCGTTAAAGAAAAGTTATACTCGAGGTGAATGACTAAAAAAATAATTTTAGTCTTTCAAAAAATATTGTTGGAGCTACTAGTCCCTATAATCTGTCGAACCACATTCTACTTGAGAAAGCTATCTGACAGTGCTTCCAACAAGATTGACTCCGGGAGAGAAGAATTATAGAGTGGAAAAAACAACTTTTGATTTATTTCTCATATATTTAACTTTTTAGTCTTTTCTATCAGCATTTAATGAAGTCACATGCATCTAAAATGGCATATGGAATTACGTATTTAGGTATGTTACAACAAAACCATTTTCAAAAACTATAAATTATTTTAGTTTAAAGTATATTTTCATTATCAATCCCATCAGATAGCATATTTAATATACGACTTCTGTAGTACTTATTATAAAACTCATCAATCTCATTGCACAAAGCTAACAAATTCAGAAAAACCAAAACCAAAATTTTACCACATACATTTACATGAACAAAATAGAGAAATTTCACTGTAAACTTTTTCTGTAAACATTTTTAAAAGAAAAAAAAAAAAAAAAAAAAAAAAGATAAAATTCACTGTGAGCCACAAGTAGCTTAAACTAAACTTTAAATTTTGATATTTTTATAAATTAACTTATACATAAACTATATATAAATTTAACTTACAGAAAACCTTGTTTCATATTTATTTTTCTTGCAATTGTTCAGAAAAAACCTTCATCCAACCTTCATCCAAACATGGCCTAAACCATTTTCTTACCTGCGAACCCCATCCAATGACACCAATCTGCTTTATCCCCTTGAAAGCAGCCGGCAACAGAGGGAACAAGTCCCTCCCTCCTTTCACAATAAACTGCATCCAACAAACCATCAGCGAGGTCATTTCAGTCTTTTTCACTAAACTAACCAAATAAAGTATTCACCAAAATTAACAACTAATTATTTAATTAGCGACAAATTCATAAGACTGCGGTGCGCAACCTCGTCGTGTCCAGCGAGGTTAATCTTCTCCTTCCGGAAAACGGAGGTCTCGAAGTCGAGCGAGGGCGGCGGAGCCACGGCGGGCGCGGCTACCATGCGAGTGCCGAGCGTGGCCATCGCCAGGGGCCTGAATCGGAAGAACGCGCGTTTGGGAAGCGCAATGAAGATTTTGGCGAGGACGGGCTTGGTGGAGAATGTTCTGGAAGTGGCGCAGAGTGAAGCAGAAGAAGCGGTCGCCGACATTTTATAGACGAGAAAAAGTAGCAACAGTGATATCA